CACCATTTTAGGCTTATATGTTTGGCGCGCAAGGCTTAAGTCTTATTCTGCATGATTTAATCTCTGAGACTACTTGCGGATGCTTCAGGATCTTATTGTCTGTCTCTATGACTTTCACTCTTGCTCTATACTGGGTCGATAGGAGTGTGAGGAAGTTGGTAATAATAGTAAGTAGGACATCTGTAGTCCATCTCATGAAGTAGAAGTCCTAGGTATAGGATGATGATCAATCTGTCACTAGAAGCATATACTGGTAGCCTTCATAGCCCTCATCGTAGTCGTAGAAGTCTATAGCAATATGATCGGCAGGCTTCTCTCATAGTAGGGCTTCCTTTACTGCTCTTTGCACCTGGCGGTGTAGCTTGCTTGTTCCACATACGTCACAGTCGATCGTTGAAATAGCAGAGCCTCCTGTGAGCAGTCGTACGCTGCGCGAGGAGCCGATAAGGTGGCGTATTGCCTCTGGGCCTGGGTGGCCTAGGCGGCGGTGCCATATTATTATACTCCCACGGATCGGCTTTCAACGCGTTGCTGTGGTGTATTTATGCTGTTGTTGCAGTTTTAACGTCTTATCCACTGCTTGTGGGATTAGAGCTATTACAGCTAATGCTGCTTCGTTTTCAAGGGGTTGATACTCGAGAACTTGCTGATGATGGTGCTCTTGGAGAGCGCAGAGATATGATGAGTTGGATCTGCATAGGCAGTTGTTATGTAGGCTCATATCCCACTATATGCCACGCTGGCGTAGCTGTCAGAGAGAGATAAGGCTGCTTGCAAAGCCTGAACAAAGTGCTGCGTTGTATAGCCGCAACTTTGTCGTACTACTGCTGCGCCCCCTCAGCTTGATCTCAGCTATGCCGTAGCCCTCAATAGGCACCTGATGTGCGCCTGCCTATATGAAGTCGCCTGGAGCGGCTCTATAGAGTGTTATAAACCTTGATAGGCTGTTGAAAACGTGAATTGTCGCTCCTGAGTCAAGTATAGCTGAGTTATATAGCTTGTACGTAGAGGGTTGCGTGTGAAATGCGCTGTGGGCTTTGCCTCTGCACCTTCTATATAGTCAGGCTTCCATATTGCTGCTTAGCTTGAGCTTTCGAATGCATTCCGCAAGCTCTTTATCGTTATTAATCCAGTCTTCGACGAGCCTATGCGTTAGTTCGTGACGTGTAAGTCGCTCAGGGCGTAGATCTTCAAAGACTATCCAGCACTTTGAAAGTGGATAGAGGCTGAGGTATGCAGGACAGAGCTTTTCATCCTCAGTCTCCGTCTTTGCGAGTGCTCTCTTTTGAGACCTATCTCTTATAGGCGTTGCGTGAGATAGACCTGCGTTTTGAGGAGCTCCTTATGTGCCTCGTTACGCTTATCGTCCGAGGTTACGCTTTATAGGAGTAATAGCCTCCTGCTCTGAGTCTTGGGTAGTAGCGCTATCTGCGTCGCCTAATATCGTTGGTCTAAAGGCTCCACAGCCGCTTTTAGTGCGTGGGTTGGCGTTCTTGATAGTTCGGAGGAACTCTCTTGTCTTCTTAATAACATCACCTACAGTGAGGGTGCCCTCTTTCGCCTTATCAGATGCGTTCGTATGGTATGAGAAGATCCAGTTATCAATATAGCTATTACTAAGCATATCGACATAATCTGGGAACCACTGGTCAGCTTCTCTGGCTTGTGGAAGGCTACTCGCCTATGCCTCACAGATCGCTCGCTCCCATTTTGTGAGCCAGTCTTCTACATCGCGCTTTGTAGCTAGCTTCTTGCGGGCTGGGAGTTGGAGGACTGCACTATATTCAGCTTTTGCAGTAGCTTTTCGTTCGCTATCGCTAGATCCTATACGCTTCTGAAGCTCATAGATCCACTCGTTAAGGTTCTTATCAGCTGTACAGCAGTGTCATAGGAGTTCTAGGTCAGCTGTATCTCTGATCCAGTCTTATAGGGCGCAGATGCTCTTCATATAAGCTTCGTAACTCTTGATTCGAAACATATAATCAGCTTGTCGATCACGATATAGCTTGCGGTTGGCTCGCGAGAGCTCTGCGAGGTTTTCAGCATGCGCGACTGCAGCGTCGTTGTCTGGATCTAGGATGACCGCTGCAGAGTTTGCTCCACCCCCGGACGGATGGTCAGAGATCTCTGGAGCGTCTGGAGCTGCCATGAGTGCGTCGAGACGGCTCTGGAACGCGCCGGGCATAGTTTGAATGTGTTCTGCTGGATTGATATGCTTCCAGAGATTGTAGGACTTTGCTTTTGACTGCAGCTGATCGAACCAGAGGATCCAGTCACGCGTTGAGCGTAGCTCGATCGTCTTTATAGTTGCTGTCGTCATATTGATAGAAAAGAGTATATAAGAAGATAAATAGGCTTCTGGCTAGATTCGCAGATTCAGACTGTTAATTGTCAGATTAGAGGTAGTAAATCGAATAGTGAGGTATTGTCTTGTTCTTCTATGTGTTCAATAATAAAAGATCTTCTACTATTTTTATGTCCAGAGTGAGGGCTTTTACCCTTATCCATAGAGTTTGGCATAACCATAGAAAACTCTTCTCAGCTCCTCTCAAGGTCGCATAGTGGCGGACACCTTTCATAGTGACTGACACCTCTCAAGGTTATCATGGCCAATTTGACACATACACTTATTTTACGGAGTTCTTCGGTTATCAAAACGAACAGTTCCTGACGCGGAATGTAATTCTTTATCCTAGTGGTGGCGTTTTCACTTTGCTTAATTAGGTCGCATATCAGATGTGAAGCTGGTCAACGTCTTCCCCTCTTCGGCTCTTGATCACGGGAACCCAGTGTCACAACACGAGTAGGATTTTTAAGAACAAGACGAATTATTTGTCGTTTGAGCTTACCTCATGTTTAATATTCAAACCACACGGGCATAGCGGACTGCATCCGCCACCCCCGTTCGCTGATCGTAAAGCTAAACCTCTATTGGAATCTGTCAATCCTGACGGCCTAGGCAGCTACGGCAGCTGCCCAGAGTGCCGGTGAACGACTAATCGTTCGCTAAGATCGGTTTTGATACTCAAGTTGAGATGACGGCGGCCATCCATGGCTCAATCAATCAATTAGCCGGAAGCCTTGACTGCTCTTTTCGATTTACTCTACAGATAGAATCAGGCTGGCTGAAGCCCTGTCGCAACGCGCCTCAACCCTGCGCTGCCAAGCATGCATTGTTAGCCAATTATCCACATCCGTTGGAAGCCGGCAACGCAATCTCCTGACATATCTCTCCACTCGTGAGCGGCCGGGTGATCCTACTTAGGCAACGACTCGCTAAGCGCATCCAAGAACCTCGACGACCAACAACATGCAGGGGTTGCCCACCCTTTTAAACGATGCCCAGCCTGCTCGGCACCCCTGAATCTCAAAATCGATCTTTGGTACTTCAGTTGAAGACGCACCCCCGTTCCACGCTGAATCGTCAGACCTAATACAGCTCAATCGGAGGAACCACCAAAATGACAACGTTACTCGACCTGCCCACAGAGCTGGTCTACAAGATCCTTTCCGGGCTAACGGAACCCAATCCGGGACCTTACCGATTTCGCTTCGAAGATGCCAAGCCATCCTTCAACACCGAGCGCGTCAATCAGAGTTTATCGACAATGGCCAAAGTCTGTCGCACGTCGCGCACACTTCGTGATCTCGTTGAGCCACTGCTCTATGAGTTTGTCTACATCCCCGACGCAACCGCGAAGCCACTTCTGTCGCTTCTGAGATGCTGGAAATCTCGGCCTCACTGTGCTGGATACACAAGACGATTTACGGCAGAGACGAAGTGGGCTGCTGGAGGAACACCTCCTCAAATCATTGACGAGAAAGATGTCGCATTTGTCTCTGAGATAGCGGAGCAGCTCAAAGTCAACTTGCGCGAGACTTGGCACGAGTACACCTGGAACACAGACATTCTCATCGAGCTCGCAATGGTTCAGGCGCACCGCATCCAGAGTATTGAGCTGGAATTTTGCCAGCGCAGGGGAATCTACCGCCCAGCGTTCGAGAGCCTTCTTCCCGAACTTGGCAATACGAAACATATTAGATTCCCGAGCCTCGACTATCTCTACATCTTACAGGCAGGGTTGAGAGCAGGCGAGCTCGATCATGTGCTGGAGCGGGCACCAAATCTTACCAAACTCCGCCTCTTCATGTGCGATTTCAACTATCCGAGCCAGACTCTGCCTGTCAATCTCACAAGCCTGTGCATTTTCCAGTGCGTAATTCCGCCCTCTCGTCTAGAGACCATCATTTCAAGTATGGAAAAGTTGAGTCGGCTGGAGTGTACTATCTGGCGCGGCCAACCAGATGATTTGGTTAGGGTTATTACTTCTCTATCGAAGCACGCGAAGACGTTGAAGAGCCTCACAGTGTGTTTCAGATGGAATCGAAGGCCTGGAAGTTTGAGAGTGAAGGTGCCCTTAGAGGCGCTCACCAGCCTTGAGTCACTGACCACCGATGTTCGAAGTTTTGGTTTTGGAGCCACAGGTTTGATACAATCCCTGCCCGCATCTCTACAAAAGCTGCGCATCATCAGATCACCGGAAACTACGAAAGATGAGCTGGCTTGTTTCTACACCGAGCTTTGCGCGGCACGGACGCGTGGGATGGAAAACCTCAGAGTTCTATTGTCGGGGCCTGAATATTGGGAAGAGCTAGACAGCGATCACGACACTATCTTTGACGGTTCGATGCTTTTCTGAGCTCGTCAAGTCATTTTTCAGATGCATGCAGGGGTGCCACTCAAAGTTGTTAGCCGATGGAATTGAAACAAAGCCCAAATAACATTACCACAAACACCTAAGATGTCTATGAAAATGGCCAAACTCCTGGCTTCGTCCAATATTCTTTTCCCATTCCCCCTTTCTATTTATTTTCTCTTCGTTCTTCGTTCTTCCTCATTCCTCAATGTACCTTTCATGACTGTTGTTAACTTGCGTCATGCGCGCTGATGATCGAAATGCTGGCCCTGAACACAGAATCAGTAAGAGGTGACAAAACGACTACTGTCGGGACTGATTTTCAGTGCTGTTTGAAGAGTTGTAAGAGTTGTCAGCAGAACTATCCGGGTGTGGAAACGCATCACCAATAGCACCGTACGGGTTTCGGCCACCATTGGTAGCCGGAGAGCTACCAGGAAGAAGACGACCGTCACCAATGGCACCGAAATTCGTTGAACCATTGACGAAGTCTCGACGCCGACCCCGGTTGGCTCGGGCATTAGGCGGCGGGAACGGGTGCGAGTCCGGCATCTCATAGATCATTGGGTCGATGTCCATGTCTTCGCACAGCGCCATCGGAAGTGTATGGTAGAACTCGGTCTTCTCATCTTCATAGGACTGTCCACTACCAAGTCGAGTAGCTGAAAAGTCAAAACTGGAGAGCCCAGCCCACTCTTTCTGGGGTTGAATATAGAAAAGAGAGGGAGCTCCGAAAGTACGCAGAGGGTATTTTCTTCTGATTTGCCGATCATAGCTTTCTGGCTGAGGGAACCGTTGAGGGGCAGCATCTGGAAGGTTGACAGGTACTTGAGGCTCCGGCTGACGATATCCAGGCTGTGGTCTCCTGTCAGCTGGATACAGTGCATACGGGATTGCAACGCGAGGATCATCGTAACGAGCATGTCCACATTGAACCTGCTTTTCTTGTAGGCACTGGGCGCACATGTACCCCATGCGCTTGACCTGAGTTTCTTCAAAGTCAGGGCAGCGACCTTCTGGGGATACTCTTGGATTAGTGGAAATCTCGGCTGGTTGCTCAAGCCACCATCTTCCGCAACGTTCTTTGTCTTCCCATTGTGCCTGAGGCTTCACGTCAGTGACGTGACCTATTTCATTGGATTGGAGAACAATGTTGCTGAGCTCGCAACCCTGGCGTTGCGGACACTCCCGGTTGATACAGGGGCAGATGGTGTATTTGTTGGTGCCGTTACACATGTTGATTGATTGGAAAGATAATCTGGAGGTGTGATGTGGTGGGGAAAATGGCTATTCGAGATTGTTGTATTAAGTGATGACGTGTAGATAATGGATGCTGTTGTGTTTGAGTGACTGATGAGGAGAACATATTTGCTACGGGTTGGCTCTTCGTTATATAACATGAAGAGGGGCAAATGGCACGGAACTGACAATAAAATTGTTCTTGAAATAATTCAGCTTTCCACAAAGAGAAACGACAAGAAGATCAAAGGGATCAGAGGTCTCGTATCATGAACAAACAAGATGAGTCCAAGGCCTCAGGACAATGCGGTTGTAGTTGGCACATCAGGAGAGCTCACCTTGCCTTGTGAAATAATCAAGTTGTTCGTTTCACGGTGCCAACTAGACGCCTATTGCTGGTCACGATATACAAACGAGGTATCTTGGTGGACCAAGGTGATGAAGAACTCGCGGGTCTGGAAAGGTCGGACGAAATTCTGGCTTTCCATATCAGAACACATGTTTCGGAGCTGAAATACGGACTTCATTTTCTCATTCGTACGCTACTGGGTATCTTTTCCTCTCTATCCGTCAAACAAACTAACGCCAGTTGATTATGCAGAGTGTCCTCCCATACCTGCACACGCTGTCAAGACCGGGGGCCATTATTCCAGCCTCACGTCACTCAGCATCCGACGCCATAAACCCGCTCCCGTTCAACGACGCGCTCGACCCGTTCAGGAAACGGTCGTTTTCTCTCAAAGCTACCCCTTCTCCATCTACGACGTTCGTATCTTTCACGATAACATCGGTCATATTCATCGCGCTTGGCAATGTCCTCCAAAAGGATATCCTTCTGCTCCCTCTCGCCAGCGAGCATGGCCTGGAGTATCTCCACCTTTTTGAAGAGCTCGTCAACCCTTGCCGACCTGATGTGCTCGTCTGCAAGCTTTCGCTCAAGATCCGCGATTGTGCGCAACAGTTTTTCGACTTCGTATCGTCGGCCTTCGTGCAGCGTGTGATTTTCGCGCTCGATCCGGAGTTCCTCTTCGAGAATCTCAACTTTGCGCACAAGTTCCGAAATGCGACGCTCGTACCCATCCGTTGGCGGAAATCGAAGTCTTTCTTCTGCAAGGAGCTCCTCCAATTCGTCGACTCGGCGCAGCACCTCGCCCGCTTTGCGCTCCCAGTGCTCGACTCTCCTCTGCTCGCGCTCCAGGTCCAGCAGCAACCGTGCGTTTCGGTCCTCCAGATCCTTTCTCCAAATGCGGTTGTCTTCCTCCGAAATCCAAGTGCTCCGGAGAATCCGAATTTCCTCTCTGCTCTCGTTCAACCGAAGTAGACAGCTGTCGTAGTCTCTGGCAAGCTTGTCATGGCGGCATTTCAGATCATCGTAGTGGTGTGACTCATAGCCCCTGCCGCGCAACCTGTCTTCCAGGTGCTTGATCTTCTTATGCAGCTCCGTCCGAGAATGCTCGTAGCACAATTTGTCAGATCCTGTATCGTTGAAATTGAGGCACTTGTCGATCTTGCAGCAGTGCTCTTCGCAATAGCCAAGACGAAGTCTGGCCTTATTGCTGCAGCCAGATCTTCTGCATTCGTGTTCCTCGCAAAATGTCCCCCCTCCTATACGAATTCTGTCGCATCCATCCCAATTGCAAGAGTGCTTTTCACAGTACTCGCCACTTATACAAACTTCGCGGCAGTCGGTAGTTCTGCAGGTATGTCGGCGACAATAAGTGCCGAAGCCCCCCTTCTTGACAACAATTGCGACGGCATAGCACCGGGTCACCTCGCAGCCGTGATCGCGGCAGAATAGTCTTTCGACGTCTTTCTCATTGTCGCGAAAATTTAGACAGCCCTCGAAAGTGCATTTGTGGTAGCCACAGTAGCTGCAGTTGGGGAGACACAATTTGTCGCAGTCTTTGTAGATGCATCGAAGCTCTCGGTAGTCTATCTCAAGTTAGTCTCTCAAGATTCCATACGAGGACAGACAAGTGCATTACGCTTCTCGCAATGATCCCATAATCCGTCCTTGTGCCGATGTCGCCATAATTTGCAGTCTTTGAAAGGGCATTTCTGGTGCTTGATGCAGCGGAAATCCGAATGGACCGTCTCGCGGCAGCCCTCTTCACGACAAATCCTTGCCACATGGTCGATGCAATAATCAGCGTCCAGTATTCGTCTTTCGAAGCATTTTCCAGTCGAACAACGGTGGTCTTTGCAGTAGCCACAGTCCCCGGGCCTTTCCTTGAAGCATCCATCGACGCGGCAAATGTCTGTTCGAGCTGCCAGTCAGCGTCATGCTCCCGGACTCTGCACCAGACAAAACTTACGGCTCGAGCAAAACCACGGCAAAGCGACGCCGAGCGGACAATCCCCTCTACGTGTGCAATCTTTGAACCCGCACTCCCGGTCTGTGGAGAAAAAGAATTGTCAGAAATTTGGTCATGACGAGAGGGAAAGGGACTTACGTAGAGAGCAGAAGCGGTGTCGCTTCTCTTTTGATCGCGTGCACATAGACTCGCCAAAGACGCAGAACTTGCATGTGTCTAAAAAAGCTTTTGAGCCACCTGCATGGGTTGAAAGATTGAGGATATTTTGATGACTTACGCTCCACGCAAAACTCGGAGTACAACCTGATGGATCCTTCTCGACGTATGTAGGCATGCTTCCGGGAGCAGCCTTTGACACCGCAAATTCTATCCCACTCAGATCTTGAAGAGCAGGTAGAAATGCAGCTTGAGCAGCTGCAGCTCGAACTACAACTGGAGCTGCAAGTCGAACATGACGACGAAGATGATGAGGAGCGAGAAGGCAGAATCAGGCCCATGGTGAGTTCCGGTTTCTTGGTGACAAGAGCAGAGTGTCCAGAGTCCAAAAGAGGGTTCTGTCTTGCTCAGTCGTCAACTGCGGCCGAATCTAGTACAGATCGATGAGGTGACTTGGTGGTTGATGAAAATCGTGGGCTAAGGAGGAAAAGGTACCGTCTACGGAAAGAGAAGAATGAAAGAGGAAAGAAAATTGGCGACTGGAAGAAAATGGTGGAGGTTTCTCTGAAAGAAAGATGACCGAAGGGAGGTCAAGGTGAATGCAGGAGCACGTCCAGGTGAAGGTGTCTGACTGGGACAAGGACCCCGTGAGGTCAAGGTGACAATGGCTTCATCCCAACTTTTGGAGTGGTGTGGCTCAGCTTTGTCCGGATCATCCCAGGCTTTGAGAAAAGCCCGACCACGCGACCAGCTGGAACACCTGTCCTACCAAGTCTTTGCTAGCTGAGTGTTTCCCTTTCCACCAAATTTAGTTCTAAGAAATGGGCCTCCCAGATATGAGATGTACGAAATTGAGGACATCATGTCTACAGCATGGGCAACATCTGAAATTTCGCATCTGCCGTTGGACCTTTCGCAAACTTTGCGTAATCATTTTGATCAAACAATTGGATTTCAGCTTGCGCAAAGACTTGATCTTAGCCCGATTCCGACAGAAGAAACTGCCGGGTGCATTTGAATCTAGCAGCACATTAGAGCAAACAGGAATGCAAGCTGCAAGATCCAGACATGGTGTAGTCGCTTCAACATAAGACTTTCACCTCACCTTGAACATATTCGTCATTCGTCAAACCAAAAGATCTTGACATGCAATATTGGGTTGCATTCAGCCGGTTCAGACCGAGCGTACGGCCAGCTGAAGGATCGGCCTCTCGAGAACAGACGTCCGACAAGACGCAGACGAAACGATACTAAGCTGACAGCTGTTCGGAACGGACCTGCTATGAAGTCTAAATGACGCGCGGATGCGCAACGCGACCGGAGAATCGAAATGGGGACCCGATGAAGGAGAGAACATCGGAGGAAGAGAAGTTGGGGGCCACCAGCCAGTAAGCATGAGCCACACGTGGTCCCTTGAACCAGCCGGCTGATGGTGGGTTGAAGCTCCCAAAGGGTCTCAAACCATCACATGGAGGGTCAATTGTGTGGCATGCGCCCATCGAGCTAAGACAAAACCACCAAAAGGCGACCGGCCAATTACGTCATGCTACTCTCTGTGATGTCAATACAAAAAGGGGATAATTCCAGGCCTTCAGCTAACAGATGGTCGTGTCATAGTCAAATTACTCTTGCAGTGAATTCAAAGATTCCAAGGAATGGGACTGCCAAATGCTTCCGGCTATTAAGGCATTCGTGGCAATGTCTCAAACAAGACCAAAGCATACTGGCAAAGCTCAGCCGAACGGAAAGCCTTCCATCATTGCGCGTCTGTTTTGCGCCAATCATGGATAAAGACGGCATGTCAATTGGCAACCAGCCGACAAAAGCCGCCTTCAGAGTCTTTACATTCTTTGCTGTTATGTCACTCAATTTTACCACAAAACATTCACATTGGGAACAAACCAAACACATTTCGCAATACTATCTGCTCTATTGAATCCAAGATTCAACGTGGAAAGCCACGGTATTGAGAGCCGGCTGTTCATCCCTCCGATGCATTGGGTGGTGCCGCTATGTCTAAGCGTCTGATTGCTCCTCTGGATCGTGTTGAATAATCAATGGGGTTATGAATTCGCTTCATTCGCCTCGTCCTTAAACCCGCCATGGTCCGCACCACTTAATGCACATGTTTCTCGAAATACACCTGCGTTCGGTCGCCGGAACTTTCAAGACGACCGGCAAAGCTGGAGAAGTTCCTATTTGACAGACAGCTATCGCCAACGTCTGACAGACCGAGGGGTCGGACCATTTTTAGGCAAAGCGTTCCTGAACACAGACCTTGTCTACACCTCGGACCTGACGATCTGACCCATGAGTTCCTCCAGCACAGACGCCGCCTTACGCAAATCCGGAGCTTCGCCATACCAGCGCTGCAAAGCCCATGTGGCCGAGTCCACCGCATGTTTCCATCGGTCCGGCAGTCGGAACCTACCGCTCTTGACCGCCGCCAGGACCAAAAGAGCACGGGTCATCGCCGCTCTGGCCATGAACCAGGTTCCGTGATGGCGATGGTGCGGATTAGCGTCCAGTAGCAGCTCGACTGCGATCTCAAGACCCTTCTCCGCTAACGGCAAGACGCGGGGAGACCATGGGTCTTCGGGGGGCTGGTGGATTACGTAGTACACGAACGGGCGATGGATCCATTCGCGACAACTCTCCGCTCGGTTTTGGATGTAATGAACTAGCTCATTACTAGAGTGTTCACGATTTTGCCAATTGATCTGTGACGGAATATGACAGCACCTACAAGAAGCATCAGCGGTCAAGCTTCGTAGGCTCGTAGCAGAGATTTTCGAGGATCATAGCTCAGGGCGGCCAACTACTCACCAAACATTGATTTGTTGATCAAAGTCTTCATATTTCTCAATGACTTTCGCAATATTTCGAATCCAAGCTTCTTCACCATGGTAACCCATGATCGCTATCGCCCGGTTAATCATCCTTCGAGACGATATTTCAGCGAGGTAGTAAAACCAGCTTTTCTCCTCTTCTGGTTGGATATCGTCTTCAAGAATGTCCAGCGAACTTGGTTGTGGCGCTGGTGTAGCAACCTCTGACGGAGGCGAAGGAAATAAGTCAGGGTAGCTCAATCGAGTAATGCCGCTCGAAGGCAGGGGTATCTCGCATCTCAGCTCGCTGCAAGATCGCATTAGTCTGCATCATGTGCGTGGTAGGGGCTCGGTACTGACCACTCGGATTTCATGCACGACCAGTAAAGGCGCTGCTCAAGACGCCGTGCTTTTTGGGACATATTTTCTGCTCGTCGTTGAGTCCGTCTCCATAGGAGATTTTTGAACTGCACGCAAGCCTGGTTGAAGTAATACCAGGCAGGGAGAGGACGTAGAGAATACATCTCAAATACTCCACAGAAGAACAGGCACTGCACTTGAAGTAGGGAGGGTTCAAGGAGACCCAGTCGTTTCTTCGCTGCGAAGAAGTAGGCTTGGGCAGTATCCGGATCAGTGGAGTTTGATGCTGTCGAACGAATGGACTCAGGCGTGCTATTCAGAAAACTGTCCTGTTCGAAATGGGTGGCCAGGCAGGCCAGAGCGCAGGCTATGAGCTACAGAGGAATAAGCAAGTGAATGAGTGCCGCGAAAGAGGAAACGCCGACTTACTACAAGACACGATGGGCCGTCCCAACGTGGACCATTCTCAATCGCGGCCTTGACATGTGCTCTGAAGTCGGGTACATCGAGAACTGGATTCTTGACATGCACATATGCCAAGAACTTTTTTGAGAGCACAGTAAAGTCATCTTCTTGCACTCCTCGCCCAAGACTGGCTGCGTTATTCGATTTCCTTACGCCCATACAATCAGGATCGTCATCTTCCAGTTCGAGAATGAAAGAGTTGATCTCAGGAACAGTGTCCCTGAATATTGGCCATCTCAATATTGTCTCACAGTTCCAACTTGCCGCCGCAAGATCCGGAATATCAAACCGGGTCATAACATCGTCTTCTGGTAGGCCATCGTCTGTCTGGCACTGCGTCTCATCTACAACAGCGCAGGAACTCCCCTGGGGTCCATTAATCGAAGTCGGCGACAAGATCTGGTTGCCGTGTGGGATAGCTGGGATGCCTGTGGGCTCAGCCGCCGGGAGCGGTGCCGGTGGGCGGCTCTCCAAGAGATTGACTACATGATTAATCCTATCCAGAATTGCCAAGCTGGCTGGATCAAATCTGCGAGGAAATATTTAGAATAGGTATGCCCACAAAGGAGAAATGCTCTTACGTTGAGAAATCATTCGTTGTGTCTGGATAGGTACACAGGCCGCCGTTCCGTTGGCAAAAACCACAGGCGGGCCGCACGTTGTCGCACTTCGTCTTGCGGACTCGGCATGGCCCACAGGCGGCCACGGCACGCCTTCTTTGGTACATGCCGGATGTACGGCGCCTCTTGTTCCCCGCCTCAGGAGTCTCAGAACCCGCATCAGCGCCCGACATGGTCATGATACTGCAGAATCAGGCAGTCGTGGATTGCAACCTGTGGAGATAAACGGCGCTGGATAGGGCGTAGGATATCTGAGAAACCTTTCTACGACGTGTGATAACGGGACTTGCCCGAGTGATTTGATGGAGGCGGCGTGCTGAAGAACCTGGGGCAAGGCGCGCGGGGAGTAGCGGAGTTAAGAACAATGAAGGAGCCCTGAAAAGCGAAAACGAGGGCAGGGGTTCTCCAATTGATTATTGTGGTACCGTTACCCCATCTCGGTTAGCGTGCTCGCTGCTCTGAGTCGTTACAACTGCTGGAGCTTATTTAGTGACTGAAGGTTAAATACTAACTGCTCTAGGTGACTAGGTCTGTATTATTGGCAAGGCAGAAGATCTCTATTGATAATTGAGATACTTGGAAATTCATGCATCGCCTTCGCCATTGGACTCTACTTGATGCATTGCCCTAGCTCTTCGCTGCACCCATGCCTCGCAACCTATTTCATCGTACTTCGGCTTCTCCCCGTCTTTAACACAAGTATTCAAAACACCGCAACTCTCATGCAGACCAAAACCGAAGAAAAAAGGCATGCTAATCCTCTCCTCGCCGCTAAGATTTCGAGCACGATGAACAGTGCTGATGTAAAGATCGTTGGTAATGCGTTGCAGATAGTCAGCGATATTGACAACAAAAGTTCCCGGAATCGGCGCCGCCCTATTGAGAGACCACAAGTGAGTTTCAAGCTCATTTCTTCCTCGAAGCGGCATGGACTTACCTGATCCATTGCCCCTGGCGATTCAGAACTTGCAGCCCCCCGACGGCATCTTGCCAAAGAATGGTGAAAAGCTGGAAGTCCGTGTGCGATCCGATCGATACTGGTGCATCAGTGTCGGCTGAAGCACCGTTCAAAGCCTTCGATAACGGCGGATAATAGTTGAGCGCCAACGCAGCATCTGGGTATGCAAATTTAGCATCGAAATGGTCTTCCTGAAGGTCCAGAGATAATGCGAAAGCTCGCACTAGCACGCGAGCAAGTTTCAGGCATGACTGCCAGTAACGGATGATCGAGCTTTTGAACTGCGGCTTATTGGAAGCTCCCTCCCAATGAAAATCTTCTATCCGGAGGAAACGCTTGGCATCGTCTGGGATGGACTCAACGTCGCTGATATCGGGATCATGACGAGGATCGTAAGTCCAGCTGAACGTCTCGCGAACATCGACACTTTCCGACTTGTTGATACGCTGGGATCCAGGAGGTTTGTAGCCGTTGAAGTAGCGACTCTTGCCAACCCAGGAACGCATCTTCGCCTCTTCTTCCTGGCGAAAGTAATCGAGACAGGCTTCGTGGGCAGCGTCAGTGACGGACGAGTCGATGCCATGATTGGTGATGTAAAAGAAGCCCGATGAAGTTGCAGCTTGGCGGATCTGTTGAGCCACTACTTTTCGGCTTGCAATGTCATCACTGAAAGAAGGTGTTATGTCAATGAGTGGAATCTCCGTCGGAAGAGCATCACGGAGTGGTGTTCGGAGAATACGGCGCGTTACCGGGCCATTCCCGGAAGCGAAACGAAGAAGAGTTGTCTCCAGTTCGGACACGATGGTTGTCTCGCCCATGATGCCTCCAGTTGTGTTTATGTTGTCTAGAGATCTGAGCGCCATGAACGGAAGCAACCGGGCTCTTAGTAATTCTTGTAAGAGACGACAATTTTGTTTACAGAAAATCTGGAAATGCGGGGTGACACGGTGCGATAAGACTGAGCCTTTGTTTTGCAGGCGGGGACGAGACACTTCATTGGCTTCTGATAGGGCCCCAGGAAACCATCTTGTCGGAGATGGCCGCCCTATCGCACAGCATTTCTAATTTTCCTAGCTATGTGTACTTCGTTTCACGATCACGTTCGCAAATCATACTATCTGAGACCCAGATGACGGAATTACACTCAGAGGCATCGAATCTTCTCATCATAATGGCGCATGCATGGTTCGAAAAACTGCCTTTTATATTTGGTGGATTTTAACCTCCTTCTTTCGGCCCCACAAGATTTGTGACTTCTATTGGCCTTCTCGGACGAGGGATTTGATCCTACGTGCTACCTTTGCCTGACAAGGTCGCAGATTCTCGATTTTACCTCACCAGACAACTCTTCCAACAAAGCATGCTCTCATATCTACTCGATTGTTTTCGTTGTGAACTTTTTTACGTGAACTTTTTTACTTCGGCCATAACTTACTTCTCGCGACGAGGATGGCTCTCGATTTCGACGCAAAAGCCCATGCCTCACTGCAACCGCCCAAGCCGGAGGCGCAATGTTGCTCAGATTGCCTCAATATCCCTTACTCGATCCGTAATCATGCATACCACTCAAGGCAGTTTCTGGATCCTGAGACTTTGGACGCGTCAGGGTGGCGTTACTGGTTCAAGCCATCCATTAACGCCCTCAAACAATCAGCCATAGATGGTTGTCCTCTCTGCGCACTGATATATTCACGGTGTCTTCAATCAAGCCACGAGGACCCGCACTATTGGAAACATGGAAAGGGTGACCCGAGACTTTAGATGGTTTTCTGTGGTTCCGCCCCTTACGAACCAGACATCAGACTTGGTGACCGGCACGTGCAGAATTTCAAGTTCACTGCTGCCCCTCATGAATGGTGTAAGTGAATAATTGTGTCGCCATAATTTGTTTTGGATGCGCGTACGATGAGCTGATTGGGAAAATACAGCAGAGCAATTTGCCAGATTTTTCCGAAGACAATCGAGCCCTAACTTGCCCAAATTCTGGACATATGATTGTGACCATCAACATCAGGCGCACTGTTCATCTGGTTCAGATTTCCTGCCAACTCGGCTGGTGGACATCCAGCACAGGCAAGGAAATGATGACGTTGTCTGTGTGGTGCACACAGTCAGCGCGAATATCTCAGACAGACGATACATGACACTCAGCCATCACTAGGATCACCTAACGGACGAGGAGACTCAGTTGACTTTGCGCAATGTTGGCAGTCGCGTCGAAGAGCTTTCCCTGAGAAGGTTGCCGCCTAGCTTTCGGTATGCAGCCTTTCTAACGCGGCAGTTGGGGATTCGTTACCTTTGGATAGACAGTCTCTGCATTTTGCAAGACTCAAGAGGACTGGGTTAGAGAGTCTGTTCAGATGGGACAAGTGTATAATGCCTCTTATTACACTATTGCCAATTCCAACGACGCTCTCGAAAACTATAATCTTTCTTCCCTTCTAACCTTTTTCTTCGTAGTTTACCGCCTACAGGCGCACTTTATTAACTACTATATAACTCTTATAGGGACATATTTAAGAGCTAAGATAGCTTAAGAGAGAAACCTCTATAGTTACTTATAGAAGTATATAAAGAGAGCGTAAATTATTTTGATTATAGGGAGTAAATATCTCCCTTTTTATATTATTATAACTTATTATACTAAAATACTAAAGTAATACTATATTTACTACTTCTATAACTACTTTAAAAGTAATAATAGTTTTATTTAGTTTATTAGAGAAAAAGAGGATAATATCTATAAATTTTAAAATGAATACTTTTTCTTTTAAAACTATGATAAATTTAAAGAAATATTGTTTTTCTATTATTTACTAGTATATATTATCGTCTACTAATATAACTATAATAATCTATTTTCTTTAAAATATTTAATAAATTTAAAGATAGTATTAAAGTATTTAAAAATAATAAAATAACTAATAATTAGTATTATAAAGTAAATTAGTTAGATATTATAGTTAGCTATCTAACGGTAAAAATTGCTAATAGAAGCTAGAGGTTAATATATTATCATAGTATATTAGGTTATAGTTATAGTTATAAGTTATAGTTTATAGTAAATTAGGTTTTTAGAAGCTAAAGTAATTAGTTCTAGATTTAATAAGTGATTTATAGTAAAAGTGAGCTAACAATATTCCTAAGGATAAATACTAAGTTAATTACTAAAGAGCTATAGAAGTCTAATTATAAACTAAGCTTAGAGTTATACTATATACAGGTTCTAAATAATACTTTTTATTTTTATTACTATTTTTAATTTTAATAAGATCTATTTTTACTAAGTATAGCTTTTATATTGTTAGCGTATAGATCTAATCTTTTATTTTATTATTATATAATTTATACTGTAGTCTTTTTATACTAAGTGAGTTTCTATTATTTTTACAATTCTATAGTATATATATTTTATTTTAGCTACCTAACGCCTAAATAGGTTATTTAGCTACTATTTTTATTTATAAGTCATAATATTAAATCTTCTCTCTAAAGGTTTTATTATTAAGACTTAGTATAAATAAGTTATTAGTTTTAGTTTAGAGATCTATGAATTATATTCTCTAATTTATCTATATTATTAATATTATATTAAGTTATATTTAAAAGTTAAAATAATCTAAATTAGTATTTTATTCTACTTATAAAGATATCTTTTATTATTTAGTTCTAATAATATTATATTTTATATTTGCTGTCTTTATATAAAGTGTGCATATTAAATAGTAGAGGTTATAAAAGCTTATTTAGGTTATAAAAACCTAAAACGTCTTTATAATAATTTAATAATAGTATTAAGTTATAGGTTTTCTTAATATAATATTAATATTACATAGCTAATTAATTATAGTAAAAAAGCTAAATAATTAGCGTTAAAAAGAAAAAGAAAAACAAGAGTAAGCTAGTGATATTTTATTAGATTTTTATAGAAAGTTAGTATAAATTTAAGCTAAAGTAGCTAAAATAACTAGTTATTTATTAAATATTTATATAATTTAAAGGAAAATAAAGAAACATTATATTAAAACGCTTTTTTAGAGTACATAGAAGTTAGAGGAGGATAATATATTTTTTATGCTAGACATATATAAAAATAGTATAGTTAGTAATTTTTAATTTTCTAGTATTAAGAATAATTTAGATTAATAGTGTTTTAGTATTAATAATTGTTAACATATAACATTCTTTTATAATAATCATAACATAAGAATAATA